GCGGGCCACAACGCTCAGAGCCGGAACACGGGCCACAGAGCTCAGAGCCGGGCCACAGTGATCAGAGCCGGAACGTGGGCCACAGCGCTCAGAGCCGAAACGTGGGCCACAGCGCTCAGAGCCGGAACCGCGGGCCACAGCAATGAGAGCCAGACCTCGGGCGATGATATAATGTGGGTACAGTGTTGTATGACAGAGTCATTGTCAATCAAAATATCACAGCACTGAAAAAAAGCCTAGACAGGAAGGAGGTGTAACGTGCTGGTAATGACGGGGTTAAGGTTTGAATGGAACCGTATACGGCAGTGGTTGTCACCTTATGACGAGCTGGGAGCTTAAATGGCCCTTGAAAGCACCAAAAGGGCCACACATCATATTCAGTATACATAATGCTACAAATGGGGGAGGGGAGGCAGAGGAAGTGAGGGGAAATCTCCCCACTGGGGGTGACAGATTAAAAACAAACAACCTTTTCATTGCTCCCCACACTACCCAAAACTGAAAGCTATTGGTTGGAGGATGGGCTGAAAGTTTCCTATGACTACAGAGCTGTCACATATTACAAATAATTCTCATGTACACCACTGAAGTCCCCTTTGGGCCTCTGATGCAGACACAGAGCTCCTGTTTACAGTGCTGGGAGCATTCCTCTATATTCTGTACACAGCAGCTGGTAAATGGTTTCTATGGGGGTGATACTCTCCCTGCCTATGCTGTGTGCCCCCCAAATCTACACACCCCAGCACTAGACCTGCCTGCCTCTGCCCAGCTCACACTCACCTGCACAGACAGGCTGGCTCCAGCAGCAAACAGAGGCTCATCCACTAGAGCACGATCCTCTTCCGGGCTCCGGCGTCCTCGCTGCGGCCGCCGCCATCTTGTGTGAGCCCATAACCATACACTCCAATGGGAGAGGCCCTGTCTGTGGTGGTGCACCCTTTCACTGCCACAATGCTCCGCAGCATGCTGGTCTGAGGGAGCTGAACTGCACTGATTGAATGCAGAGTTCTATTCATAGCTTGTGAGAGAACCTTCCCTTTAAGGAAACCTGTACTGAGGGGAAGATAATAGGGAGGCAGCTGTTATCCATCTTTGAAAAATGCCAGTTGCCTGGCTGTTTTGCTGACTCTTAAAAGAGAAAAGGCTGGTTAAAAAGTTATAAAAAAGCAGTTTAAAAAAAACATGTTTGCATGCAGTGTTACATAAAGTTTTCTCGCATTCTTTTGAAATTCCTCAGTCTTCAGGCTTGCCGCCATTTCTCTCTCCCCTCACTGCTCGTCCGTTCTGTCACAGCGGCTCCGCCCCCCCACGGCTGAAGTGCTTCTTCACTTCTCGTCGGATCCCCCGCTGCCTCTGCCCGGGAGAGCGGGGGGATCCAGAGGAGAAGCTGAGCCCCCTTGTGCGTGGATGAGCGGCAGAGGATCGGTACATGTCACCAGTATGTACCAATCGTCTGTGTGGGACAAACACTGGAGCGATCAGCTGATCACTCCAGTGTTTGTAAATAACTGGGGACACATAGTACTATGTGTCCCCAGTTATAAATAAACAGGATGTGATTTACATCACGTCCTGTTCATGCATGAGTTTCTCAATGGGGAGAAGCACTCTGTACAGAGGCTCCTCCCCATTCAGAAACTGCTTGATAGTAAAATATTTTCTGAATGAATGGGAAGCCTCTGTGCTTTCCATTCATTTAGAATAGAGGCTGCAGAAAAA